AGATAAATCAGAAAACAAGGAACTATTATTTTTCAGTACGATATATCTTATGTCTGTGTTACATCAATGGTTTAATCAGCTTATGTGTAAAAAGGAAAAACCCTCAACAATATGATTTGTCAGGCTGAATCTATAAATTATTTTTATTATCTATTAAGGTTCCAATGAATTAGGCAGTTATTCAGTTAATCATTTTGTCTGTCTGTGGATAAAATGTCCACTCTAATGACCAACAGTCCACAACCAAAAGATATTTAAATAAGCAAAAGCACTCATTGATGGAGTGCTTACAGTTTTCTGCATGTAGCCAGGAATTCATGTCAAGTCAACTGGCTCAAACTGTGAGTGTGAATTTTGTTGCAAACCTCACCACTGACAGAGATCCACCCACAGGCTTTTATTTTACACACCACATCCATAGTTTAATCTGCTGGTCTTACCCTTAAACTCCAGTGTAAACCTAGTTTAAGCTTCACAGGTTATTGACCTTTGCCAGTGGCTCTCTATTTGAAAAGACCTTAGTTTAAACATTAGTTTAAGATGTGATTTTAGTCTAACATTATGTTAAGTTCCTATGTGTCAGAAATTGGTTTAACTCCTGTCAGTTATAATGTAGTTCAAACTTGTATTAAAGGGCAGCAAAACCATAGCTGTAACAACAACTGATGTTATCCACTTGTAAATACCATTAACATGTTAGCAGACAGTTGCCTATATATACATCCAGCAGACATTGAGCAACATTGTTTGGAGTTGTGCTTCTTACCACTTGATGAGTGTTAAGTCCAGCCTCCATTTGTGGCTCAGGGGGTAGAGTGGCTGTCTCCTAGGTTGAAGGTTCAAATCTCAGAGTCTGCAGTCGAAGTGTCCTTGGGCAAGACACTGAACCCCAAGTCGCCCCCTATGGCCAGAGAAGTGCCCTGAAGGGATTGGGCTGCCATTGCTGTGAGTTGGTGCCACAGATGGCTGCCTCAGTTCTGTACCGGAGACCAATTCCTTGCGTGTAACATACTTAGGCAAATAAAGTGATTATCTATTTATTATCTTACCTTATCTTTTGGTCTTCTGAGAGAAATAGTTTTCTCTGAAATGTAGGGCTGGTGATTCATTTCAGAAGCATTTTTTTCTTGCTGTTACATTTCTTAAAAATTTCCTTTCATCCCAGTGGCAGTGAATACACTAAATGCACTGATAACATAAAAAATAAAGCATCATCTATGACAGCAGCACGGCAGAAAAAGTCTGACTAGTAACTTTACTCGGCCTGAGGAACACCATTGGATGGTCTACCTGCCTGTCAACCTATTCCCTACCTCTGCCCTTGCAAGAGCCAAGAGTTTCTCACAAGGTGTTTGACATTCTACCCTAATGGCAACACCTACTCACCCATGAACTACAGCATAGCACTTGCACATCACATCTACATTTAATTGATTCATTTCACATGGGTGACCCGGGTAATTACAAATAATTTAAATGATACCCATGCTTTGATAAATGTCTGCAGTTATAAGAACAAACTCCATGGAAATCAAAACCTTTTAACTGAATTAAAACAAGGCTGCTTGGCAGAGGTATGCTCTATATAGTTTTCTTGTTTATCCAGGTGTACGCTCAATCAACCTTTAGCTGCATTGTCAAATATTTTTGCACAGTAAATAGGCATTACAAGATTGACATCATGCAGAAAGATGGGATTCTGAAACAATCTGAGTGTAATTTTCTATAATTGAGCACAGACACACTGCCGCAATCTGTCATCCTGCCTTCCAGTACTAATCATCTACAGTATTGTGCATCTGACACTGAGAGATTAGAGATCGTGTTGTGTGTGTTTTTTTTTTTTTTTGACTGGCTTTTCATCTGGTGTCATTTGAATTAAAACACACTGTCAGACTGGCCAACTGTCAGGTTTGCCCGCCCTCTTTGGCCTCTCTCACCTTCCTCACTCTGTCTCTCTTTCTGCCCTGATTGCTTATCACGATCACAGGTCCTCCCTTTGTCTCTCTAAGATTATTATTCGTTTGTTGATTTATCCAGTTTCCCAGTTCCTGTATTGTTTTACCCTGGTTTTCTAGTTACGCTTTTGTTTTTCTCGTCTTAGTCAGCTCCAGTTTCTCTGCACAGCCTGTCTTTTTCCTCCGGACCTTGGCACCTCTCAACCCTTCCAGACAGGTCGATGCACAGTCACCAGTTGTCGGCCATACCAACTCCTCTCAGCCTGTGTTTTCTTCCAGTAGCCTCCATCACCCACCGACCAGCCCAGGAGTGACCCCGCGACGCAGCTCGGCCCACCTCTTCCAGTTCTTCACTCCACTACTCCTGCCACTGGTCGACACCCGGTCTCCCCACTCATTCATCATCTACCTGCTTCTTGTTAATCACCACATTGCACTGTATTATATTAAATCACTGCTTGCACTGAAGTCGGCTACCTGGGTCCGCCTCTCTTTCGCTCTCTCATTCCATGTGTGAGCGTTTTGCATAACATCAACACACCAACATCATTTCACACCAACATGGCATGAAATGATCACTTTCTGAAAGCGAATAGTAAAGAAAAATAGTCTTGTCTTTTTTGGAAAAGGGGTGGGAAAACTGGAAATCGGAAAATCTGTGTTATCTCATTTCGGGTTTAAACTATTCAGTTATAGCATATATAAATTCTGTACACATTGAAGATGATAAAACAACATCAGGAGTAATGTGCTGACAGCTGATCTTCACAAATTTGTTTGCGGTCTGTTTGTAGAACTTCGATTCAATATCAGAAAAGTTTATCTTAAAATGTTTCCCCTACCATTCATTTGGCGCAACGTAACCTGCCAATGCAACCTCCTGCCCACCCAATAAGAAAGGCACAAAGCAGATGGGTCTTACTGGGAAAACACACTAGAAGTGTTTTCTATGCACGTCCCACTCCCGTCTCACACTGCAAAAGAATTCATTACATCAAATGTGTCGATTCACACTGAATACGCGAGATGCGTCTCCTGTAGAACTCTTGTGTTGTCGATTCACACTGAATACGCGAGATGTGTCTCCTGTAGAACTCTTGTGTTTTTACACTTCACATCTATTTTTTTTCCTCTGCCTATTTTTAGAGAAGCATAATCTCCACAGTCAGATGTTTAAATCCCCAAAATCCTGTTGTGTTCTATTTCTATTGGTATCTGTTATGACTGATCAGGCTGCTTGTGCTTCACTTTTACTGTCTCTTTCTCTCTCTGTAATGAAAATCAATAAAATCTAAAATCCATACACTACAGAAAAATGTCCACACACACACACACACACACACACACACACACACACACACACACAGAAAAGTAGAGGAGACAGGTTATAAAACACAATATTTTTTAAGAATATCCAGAGATCTCGTGCATGACTCCTTGACTCTTCCTTACTTCATATGCTGTGAAAATCTATGGCCGATCGGAGGCGTAGGGACAAAATTAAAAAAAAATATCAGGGTCTGGTGTTTTATAATGAGAATGTACAGTGGTGTGTTTCCCTGACTGGTTTTTATTGATTTTTGAACATCACTGGAGAGGTCTATGGCACAGATGAACAAGCTAATCCAGGACTGACAGATTAAGAGACATTAATCATGAGTAGAGGCAAATCATTGTTGGCTTTAATCTCTATGTGGGGATTGCTGAAAATACTGTTAGAAAATGACCAGTCTTGTTTTTCATGTGCTCACCTATAATATCTTAGGCAACAGCAAGTGCATGATGCCAGAGAAATTTGATCACACCTAATAAGACCACGTCATTTTAACTTACAGTAAATAATTTCACAACCAAAAGGACTCCAAGACAGGTCTTCAAGCGCCTTTGGCAACACAGGGGACATATTGTAAACACATGCAAATGTTGGAGAATATTTACAGTATGTTTGAATGTGTGACCAGTGAATACATGTATTCATCTTTTTCCAGTCATATACAGTATGTGTAAAAAAAGACTTGTATCCCACAGAGGTCAAATTTAAATAGTTATGAGAAACCATTTGTTGACCTGTTTACACAGCTGCCATTATACAGTAAATCCTACAGACATTTATGGTCACCAGAGGATGAAACCTGCAGACTTTTTTCTTATGTTTTTTTTTCAAGACTGGGATGAGCGTCTGGTAAGCTTGTGGGTGTGATGAACAGTAAGTTGTCACTTAGATTGGCAGAACTGTTGCCATTACACCTGACATAAAAACCAATATGGGCTGGTTAGGCTGACAGCCTTGACAGTTTGGCTGCCAGGCAAATTATCAAGGCATAGTATTAGTTGAACCTGACTGTATTCTTACTTATTGTAATTTAATAATGGCTAAAGGTGTGGTCACATTACAGTGGTAAAATAAAGGACTTATGCTGGCCTTCTGCATTGGTTAGCACACTATTTACCCCTCTGAAACTCTTGAGGTTGCTGTACTAAACAGCCCCACCTTAGGTACAAACCATGTTTTTCTTGGTAGCTGCACCTGCTCACTATTATTTCATCAAGTCAATTGGTGGCTTGTCTTTGTCTAGTCTCAATATGAGGCTTATCTTGCATTGTGTGCTACAGTTTCTGAAATTCAAAATAACAAGCAGGAGCTTTCTTCCATTCAAGTAGCGTTCAACAGTGAACTGATGGGTCCACAAAAGTCAGTGTATCTTTGGTCAACTTTCAGCAAATCTGAAAGCACATCTCAAAGGCTTCAGGGAGAGGGAGGGCTCAGGGCAGTGGAGTGGATTGATTAGGAGTCTTACTGTATGATAACTACTGCAGCTTGATTCATAAAAGTTGCATAATGTAGCTTTAAAATTCAAGACATCACTAATTTTATGTTCTTTTGATAAGCTTGTTGTATGTATTAGGGCGAATTGTAGCCACAGCTGCCTACAACAGGAAAATTATTGCTAGCTATTTCCGATTACCTATGGCCTATGTCAGGCTTAATTAAAAGTGACAACTTTAACAAACAGTGCCTGCCTGTTGGGCCTGATGAAATATGCCCTGTCAGCCGTTATATATGACGAGTAAACGTGAAAAACCCACCACGCCCTATGTGTTCACACTCACATGGACCAACAGCATCCTTCCATATACCTGCTCGGGTGCACCCATCTTCCGGGAGGAGGAGGAGGAGGCAGCGACTATAAAATGTGTCCTACAGGCTGCTTCAGCATCAGCTCCTCCCCACTGCTCCTGGGGCTTAACTACTTTCTGTGAGCACTGCACCTGAGTCAGAAGTCACCATGAGCTCATTTCGCTCTGGAATATCCGGGCTGACCCTGTTCTCACAGCCATCAGTGCCAGGCCCCCGGCGGCCTGCCAGCGTCTATGGCGGTTCAGGCGCTAAAGGCGTCCGGGTGTCGTACGCCTCCAGCTTAGGCTCCGGCTTTGACCTGGCAGATGCGTACGGAGGTGACAGCAACAGCAGTTTCAATGGCAAAATCACCATGCAGAACCTCAATGACCGCCTGGCCAGCTACCTGGATAAGGTGCGCATGCTGGAGGGCGCCAATCAGCAGCTGGAGCTTCAGATCCGCCAGTGGTACGCCCAGCAGACCCCCACTGTCAGGGACTACAGCAGGTATGAGGCAATCATAGACGACCTGCGCAAGAAGGTAAGCGGTCCCCTCCCCACACACATAAATATGGAGCAAAATGTCTTTAATTATGTAACCTCTATTTGCCTACTGTGAAATTATGTTAATAATAGTTAGAATATACAAATAATATTATTTGTTTTTGTTGTTTTTTGTGTAAAAATCTTAATTCAACTAGTTATGGTTGTAATTAATATATTCTTTTTGGTAAACTAGTTTTCAGTTAAAACATTTTTAGATAAATAACCTTTACAAAATGTAAAGCTACAACTTAAATCAACCACCAAATAAAAATGAATAATTTCCTTATTTTAAAACTTTATTGTCATGTTATGTGACTTAATACACTGCACAAAGAAGGTGGGAGAATAGAATCTAAGGTAAGACTACAACCTATTAGAGGACACCTTTTATTTATTTTCCAAGCGTAGTGAGTCCACATTATACTGTCTGCTGACTTCTCATAAAATATTAGGAACAACTTGTTTGTGCATGTTTAAGGTAATATTAGACAGAACAAGTTAGTCGGAGTGCTGGACTTTAAAAATAAAGACCCTATATCTATCTGTCTGTTTCTTTCTTTCTTACTAGCACCTACAAGACTTTCCAGTAATGTCAAACACTTGATGAGCAAATGCGATAACTGCCTGATGCCATCCAGAGTTGTAATTAGGGAACAGTGGAATGCAAGTCAGGTGTACAGAAACCTCTGCTTTGCTCATAAACAAAGACTTGTCAGCCCGCACTGTAGATACAGTAATAAATCACTCACACACCTTAGTGGTGTAATTTTATTTGGAAACGAAACCTCTGACAATGCCTCTGTTTCTACCCTAGATAAGTGATGCCTCCCAGAACAATGCCAGGCTGATGCTGCAGATTGACAATGCCAAACTGGCAGCAGAGGACTTTAGAATCAAGTGAGTGAAAAGGATATGCCAGAAACTATTATACCCTGTGTTGTAAAAACATAATTAGCATTACTGTGTTTTAGAGTGGCAGAAGTATGGACCTTGAGAGGTGTAACTGCTTGGAGCATTATACTGTTGCATGTTTGTTCAGTCAAATATTGGCCATGTGGACATACAGTCACAGGGGTGTAATGGTGAACAGAGTGGTAAAACAGGTATAACTGGTTTTAGTGGAGCTGCACCTTTTCTTTTCTGTCTTTTTTATTTTTTTGCTGACAGTGACAGCAAGTGAGTGGGTGCAGGAAATGAAGCTCTGTGCCTTTTTCCTTAAAGGTTTGAAAATGAGCTGGCACTGCGCATGTCGGTAGAGGCGGACATTGCCGGACTGCGCAAGGTCCTGGATGACCTGACCTTGGCCCGGTCTGACCTGGAGATGCAGGTGGAGGGCTTGAAGGAGGAGCTGGCCTTCATGAAGAAGAACCATGAAGAGGTGAGAGTCCCACAGTTATAATGGCTTCACACCATCCCAGTGAGTCCAGGTGCCTGATACCCTCAATACTTTCATAGGAATCAAACAAAACATAAATCTTGTTCAGTGTTTCTTTCTATGAGCAGAAGGAGATATCACCCATTCCTTTCATATTTTCTCAGTCTTTAGGATGCTGTTCCTGAGAACAGAGAGTAGGAACAAAATTAAAATAATTTTACATGAGGCAATCAACTAGTAGCCTCCCAAGAGATGTTATAATTTGCTTATACAAACAGTAAAGCTAAGCTTGTTGGCTGTGCCCTGAAGATATAAAAGCTTGCAAATTCAACATTAGTTTTTTTTAAGAGGAAGAATGTATAATTTCTACTGTCACAAATTCTATAGCTTTGCTTTAGCTGTGAGCTCATCCAGTCACCCTTTAACTGTGGTTCAGACTGGCTCTTTGTCTCACGACCCCAGTCCTTCTTTAGCTTTCCATATGGGTTTTACTTTGACTTTACCTGACCTTCTGCTGTGGTCCTGCCTTAGGAGCTTACAGCCATGCGGAACCAAGTTAATTCCAGCTCTGTGAATGTGGAGGTGGACGCCAAGCCCCAGGATGACCTGAGCAGGACCATGGAAGATATCAGGACTCAGTATGAGGGTATTACTGAAAAGAATCGCAGAGAAATGGAGGCCTGGTACAAGGTGAAGGTGAGGAGAGCAAGACGATAGATTTTAAGTCAAAAGTGTGTTCATGTCACCTTGTGCCTCTGTTTAACTATGTGATTAACTTATGGCCTGAATAGCTTTGTGACCATTTTCCTGTTCTAATCAATGTCTTCCAGTTCGATGAACTGAACAAAGAAGTGGTCTCCGCCACAGAAACCCTCCAGACCTCTCGCACTGAGATCAGCGAGCTCAAGAGGACCCTGCAGGCCCTGCAGATTGAGCTGCAGTCTCAGCTCAGCCTGGTATGGCAGGGCCCATATAAAGAGATGCACATAAATGAAGCTACAGCACACATTTTCATGCAGTATTTGATCGCTGCAATAAAACATTTAACTTTATGACCTCTCACATTTCTCAACATCAAGTTTGTCATCTCTGATGTGTTCAGCATGCATAGTAAGCTATGTTACATATTTGAATATACACACTATAAAATAGCAGTCAGTAAACCACCATTTTTTGCACCTCTCTTAAGTGGGACAAGGAGGTAGAAAGCAAACAATTAGCACCAAGTAAACTCATATCTCTTCCCTTGTTTTTTTTTCCTCTCACATGCAGAAATCTGCCATGGAGGGCACACTGGCAGAGACTGAGTCCCACTACAACCAGCAGCTGACCCAGCTGCAGGACATGGTCAACACCCTGCAGAACGAGCTCAGCCAGGTGAAGGCGGACATCGAGAGACAAGGTGCAGACTACCGGATGCTTCTTGACATCAAGACCAGGTTGGAGATGGAGATCGCTGAGTACAGAAGGCTGCTGGATGGAGAGGATCACAAGTAAGGATCTGTAAATTCCATTTTAAAAGCATCAAAGAAGAGATTTAAAAGCATAACATATTAAAAATTGTTTTAGGAAATGCACTTCCTGGCTGTTTTTATATGAGAAGAAATGTTTGACACCACTCTCATGCCTGTACACTAATGTGAAGCTTCAGCCAGCAGCCATTCAGCTAAAGAGTAAATGGCTAGCCTTATCAGTCTTCTCATCTGAAACCAATTGCCAAAATCCCAAACTGCTCTTTTAACACTTGTATTATCTCTGTCTCAAATGCTAAGAATGGAAAAAGTAACTTTTTCCTCTGTCTTCTAGGAAAACTGTTGTCACAAGCACAAACATAAACAGAAGCATGAACACAAACATGCAAAGGGGTCAAGTCAAAGAAATCGAAGAAGAAAAACGTAAGTTTACCTCACTGCTGTATATTTAGCTCTCTGCCCATTAAAATGAAACATACTACAGATTTCATTTTGTTTTTAATTTCCTCTACAGGTCAACCAGTCAAAAGCGTGAGGAAGAAGGTCCTGATTGAGGAGATCGTTGATGGAAAGGTGGTGTCCCTCACAGAACATCTGGAGCCAGAGGTTTTTATAAAGTAGCCAGACTGGCTCCTAAAAGATATGTCTCAGATAGTACATAAAAAAGGTCTTCCTGTGCTCTTAAGTCTCCAGATCTGAAATCTGCCCTGATATCCATCATATTATTATTTCTGCAGTGTGGATATTTTGCGTAATTGTCAGAAAAAATAACCAATAAAATGCTTTTAAATGTGTAAGAAAAATGTGTAAATGGATATAGAAGCAGATATTTTATATAAGCTCCACTGAAAACAACTGTACTACCCATTGCTCTTCAGCCTGCCCTCTGAATGACCTAACTTAGCACAAGTGGCACTGTGAGCATCAGAAAGAAAATGTCTCTTCACTGTCTGTTCTTCGGATTGAATGGATACACAGTGATTAAAGAAAGGCCCTGTCCCCTATCTGATATGTATTTTTTCACAGCACATGTTTGTGCATGTTATGACAATGATGACTATATGTTAAAGGTGTCACATGTAGCAGTTTAAAAAAAGGAAATTACTGTTGTCAAATTAAATGTTACCAATTACAATTACCATAAACAAGGTAGACCTTTGTCAAGATTATTGGGATTGTTTGTGATGTAACTGTTTCTCTAATATAAGACCACATTTCCCATACAATGTTTGTGCTTTAAAAGGGTTACTTTCAGGGGTTTTGGGTTAGGGTAAATAAAAATCAGCCTTCTACTTGTTTCAGCTCTCACTGCACAAACATTTAAAAGCCGTAAAGTAGGATATATATTGTGTTCAGTGTAGCTTTATTTCTGTTACAGTTATAAGAATATATAATAAGATAGATCCTGTTGTGCTGCTGCAGTGTTATTTAAACACTCATAGCAACTCACAGTATTACAGCTTTACCTGCTTTATGATTTATGCCAATATTTGTAAAAGCCCACACTGAGAGAGTCTGAGTTAATTTAACCACAAGGAGCTGACTGTGTAATTCCAGTACTTTGTTCTACTTTTCTGCCATGGCGCTGTTTGCTCCTAGCAGTATTTACATTGTCAGTGAATCTGGCCAGTATAAAGTATGATCTCAGTAAAGGAGAAATAACACTTACACATAAAATGAATTTATCTGCAGAAAAACACTATAGTTCAATTAAAAACTCAGGGGTTATACCTTAGGTACTGTACAAAAATTATTAGGGGAGGTGTGGTCAGAAAAAGGCATCCCTTTCTTCTGATTGTTTTCTTTAATTTAACAGTAATGTATTAAAATAATATTTAATAACATTTTATTTTCTAAATTAAGGGGGAGGGTGTTGCAGTATTGCAGTCCCTAAATATGATTAACCTCCTGGACAGTCTTGTTGTTTTTTTAATCCCACAAAGTCAAACAAAGTTCAGCTTCCCCCCCCAAAATAATGTTCACACTGTGCCTTACGTCTGGCATGACTTGTGGTTATTGCTTTGTAATGAACAGAGCTAAAACAGTTTGCAGACACTGACATTTCTCCAGTTTTGTTGCACATTTTTTTAGCATTTAACATTGGCTTTATTTGTCACTTCCAAAAAAGTAACACAGCTTCTCTATAGCTAATCAGACACAAGTATAATGTAGTAAGTTAGAGGTGGTAAAGAGCCTATGTTGCCTTCGCTGTCCATGCAGTGTTTTGAATTGCCCACTAGATGTCTGCATCTACACAGTGACAAGGGTATTGTTGTCAAATCCTGGCTCTTTATTTTGGGATATCTTGCTCATACTGCAGCAGTTTAGTTGCTTCACATTATGATTGGAATATAGTTTAACCAAAATTAATCTATAATTATTAAAATTTGTCGCAATAGTCACTTACAGCAAAACACCAGCTTATCAAGATGTTTGTGACATTGTTCAAGACATCAAATTAATGTTTTTACCACATTACAGGAGAACTGCAATTAAGGTTTCAGGGTCTTCCCCTCTGGACTTCGCCCCAGTGCCTATTTTAAACTGAATAAAACAAAATGAGCCTTATTTAAATGTATTTTTGTTGACAAAATGACTGATTCTACAGCTTTTTATTTAAAAAAAATATGCTATTTTCTTTTTTTGTAATAAAAATGGCAGTAATTCCCTACTGTTTTTAATTTTAGCATTATTTTGACATGTTTTTTTTTTTCAAATTAAACGCTTATAATGTAAATGAATTCTTCTTTTTCTGCATGTTGAAATATTAACATTTGTAAATTTGCTTTTTTTAAGTAAAACTCTTTGATAAAGGTTTTGAACAATGCTTTTAAACCTCTGGGTAATGCTCATAGTCACTGAAGTCCAGCAGAGGGCTCTTTCACCAAAAGCAACTCCCACAGATGTTTGATTTAGGGCTACTGTTTTTCCAACATGGTTTGCACGAACAGGGAGTAATATTGTTTCTTGTCACCCTTAGAGAATGAGACAGTATTCATATTCTGGGAAAAGTGAGTGGAAATTTGTATGGATATGTGTGTAATTATTTTTCTTTTCACTCACAAGAGACTAAGGTCGCTACTTACAGTATTTGCAGCTGTTCAAGGCAATTCAGTGATTTCCCTTCCATACACTGCTTTTGTCCAGTAACTACTATATTTCTCTCTGTATTGCACCTGTGTTCAGCTGTGACGTGGGCGTAATGTGTGGGCGTAGTGCTTGTTATTTTTTCATGGGCTGATCAAACTCAAGTCCAGGGCCCATTTTCATTCCCTGTCTGTTGAGACTGTTGATGTAGAAAAGGTTTTCTAATGCATGGTTCTATTCTCAGTTTCTCAGTATTTCTCTACTTCACTTTTACTTCTTTGATTTATTTTAGGCCTGATTATGACTGTGCTGCACATAGAGTATTTCAATATAAGCTTTATTTTATCTTATTTTAAATCTTTTTATTTATTTTATTTAGTTTTTAAATACCTTCCTAAAGCACTTTGAATTATCTCTGTGCTCAAACGGTGCTAAACCCAACTTTCAGTGGCTTTACTAATTAATCTTATGCATTGATAAGGCATCATTATTTCCCAATTGTGATACACGCATGATATCCATTTACCACAGCTTGTGTGCTTCGTTTATCAGAGCATCATTAGGCAGCAAACTGTACACGTCTTAAATAGGCTAAAGAAAAGACGCACTATAACAGGGCCTCCCTTTCCTCCTGAGTTCTGTAATTCAAGGTCCGCACAAAGATCTGTTGTAGCACGACTGTGTCACTCAGGCCTGCTGATCCCTAGTCACGACCTAAATGATGACAAAATTCTGCACCACGGGAAGTTGACGTCACTGAGAATACAGTCACCTCCTCTCTGACGTCACTTGACGACGGTTGGGTGATAGAGGCAGCAGTAGATGGGGTTAATGCCATCTGCTGGATGGAGTCGGCCACTCACCCAGCATTACGTCATCGCGGAGAAGCCGGTGCCAGCTCCGGTCCAGTAGGTATAGCCTGAGAGTGTGGATCTGAATGCAAACCGAGGGGAGACCGGCCTGTGGTAACACTGACCGAGACTACTATTGGACAAGAGCTGCTGAGCAGGAGCTGCAGACTCTCTAACATTATCTCACAACTGCATGAACAGCTCTCAGAGGTTTACAGGCGATGTCCTCCCATACATAACACCGTTCGCTTGACTTATCCAATGTGAAAACAGAAATAAAGCACAAAATGTCCTTGAAATTCCAATGTGAAAACAGAAATAAAGCACAGAATGTCCTTGAAATAATAATAAAAAAAAACATGATTTGTTGTTCTGGGCGAACCTGCAAGCAAAGATACACTAAAATAAGCAAAGCTAGAAACTCAGGTAAGATCAATTGGGATTTTTAACGAACTCTGCCACTTAAAGGATGCGGACCAATGTCCCCGATATTTATCCAAAATGGTGAAACACAGCACAGACACATCAAACATAATAAAACATAGAATAAAAAGTATGTAAAACATATGCTACAACCCAACAGGTGACATTACACAAAATACAACATATAACAAGCGGTAGATAGAGTGAAATTGCACATGCAGAAGTCATATGCTAGGTAAAACACACCCAACTTATGCTTTAATCAGTATCTGTGCAACAGCTGATTACTCTATATTGCAACCGAGCTTGTCAAATATAGAAGACTTAAGGAAGATAAAACAAGTTTGACTCAGTCTGATGGAAAAACGAGCAGAACAAACTGGACCGACTGATGTTCAGAGGAGCTGCTGTCCATGGTGCTGAAACGGAAGACTGGCTCCTTCAGTCGTGCGCTGTACCATCAACTACACATGGTGTAAAACTGGATTTTCTATGTGACTATCAACATTATCAAAACGCTAAAACATCCCCAGTATCGCGCGGAACGGAAATTAAGGCTGGGCATATAGACATACTGTAGGTTGCCCCTTCTACTCTTTCGAACTTTATGTGCCAAGCGTGTGTGTGCGTGTGCACAGACACGTATGTATGTGATGATGATCAGGACCCCATTCTCACATGAGTAACTCGCCTCCGCAAAAACGGGAGAGGAGGGGGCTCATTAATTGCTACAGGGAAGGAGGGGGGGGGGGAGGGGGGGGGGGGGGGAGGAGAAGCAGCACGGACTCCGCCTATACCGCCCCAACCGCCAGCTCCAGCCCGACGACGGCGGAGGCAGCACAGAGCAGCCGTGTGCATCAGGCCCCCCCTCAGCTCAACTCGGCTACCGGCGTAAAGAAAAAAAGATGGGCTCCCCGTAAATCCGGGCTGTGGAGGGGAGAGGAGGGCAGGCGGGGGGTGGGGGGAACGACGATGAGAGTGTGGTGTGTGGTGGAAGAAACAAACAGAGAGAGGACAAACAAAAGCACAACCAAGGGTGCCTGTATCATGAGCGTCTTGCACTAATCGCCAGAGCCACGGATCATGTCGTGAGGTGCGGCTCTGTAACGCTCCAGGGAACCTGTCAGCCGAAACGACACGCCGAGGAGGAGGAGGTGGAGAGGTGGTGGTGTTGGAAAAGATGTCCGCCTCGGTGGGGCCCCAGGGCGGCCCTCGCCCACCCACCGTGCCGCCATCCATGCCGGATTTACCGGACCTCAGCCATCTCACCGAGGAGGAGAGGAAGATCATTATGGCAGTGATGGCTCGGCAAAAGGAGGAAGAGGAGAAGGAACAAGCCATGTTAAAGTAAGGGCATTTTTTTTCCTTTTCCGCAGAAGTTTTGACGCTTAACGCATAGTCCCCAGTACAAAGATGTCAACTGAACACCGAGCTGCCCATTAGAACCCGGCATTGCCATTGTGGTGGTCAGCATCACACACCCATCACATCCAGCAGTCATAGGTCAACGCTCTGCCATTCATTTTAAGGAGGTGGTGTGTGTTCCCAAACATGAACCCGTCAATACAAAAGCATGGTAGCAGAGCGGCAACAGCTCGAAATGTGTTTCTAAAAGAAGCCGGCATTATCAGAAACAGACTACTACTGGTAGCCTCGGTCTATAAGGTTGGATGCTGTTGGAATCAATCAGTAAATTAAAATGATAAAACAGTCACAGTCAAGGGAGATGACCCGAAACAGGGTCAAACGTGTTACAGTTGTAGAACGGGCCGTGAGGATGGAGTGTGACAGTGATGGTGGAGGTAGCGGTAGTGGTGGGGAGAGAGTTGGGGGGGATGCTGAGGATGAATCAAAGCATTATTCATCCTTCACACACTCGTTTTCATCAATGGGGACTGCACCCCATCCCGTAGTTTACACATCCAACACCGCTCTGGCTTTCCTTGACGCACGCAGGCTGGAGTGGCTTTATCAGTGTAGATCTATTTCAAACGAGGAATGTGTGTTTTGTTCGCCTGTGTGTGTGTGTATGTGAGAGAGAGAGAGAGAGAGAGAGATCGCTTTGACAATAATGAGAACAACAATGACATTATAGCTCATCGGCCTGCAGCGACCCAAACCATGTTATAAACCTGACAAACGGACGGTGTTCGAAGCGGTGTGTGATCATGTGCGCTCCCCTCGGCGGAGAGAAGAAGATGGGGTGTGGTAGGGGATCTTAGCAGGCCTGAAACAGGCGCGACACAGACTAAAACACACCGAATTTACTGTATTACTTTTGTAAGGCCTCTGTATGTCAATCAAATGGCGATCAATCGTCAAATAATAAGCAGACGAGCTGCTTAACAACAACAATAACCTGTGGTACATTTCAGAAACATTGTACAATATGCAAGCTACTAAAGAAGCGTTATGGAAAAATAAGAAATATCAATAGGTCACTTTAAACTCACTGTCTGCACAAACTCTTTGAGAGATATTAGAGTGACATGATGGTGGTGTGTCATAGGTGGGCTCCAGCTGCCTCTTACAAAGGGTTTGTTACATTGCAAATTCATGCCTCAGGGTTTCCACCACAAGGGTTGGCAATTTAAACAAGCAGAGCCTACACTGAGCGGCCTATATGCTAATGTCCCTATCCACACCTGCACTGAAACAACCGAGAGCCCTGTCTCTGGCTTCATAATGAAGGATATTGTGGTTGCAAGCGTGCAGCTTCCTATAGCACTCTGGCTTGCTCTGATTCTAATGGCTGTTTTCATTTCCTGACTGCAGCCTGAAGGGAAGCTGGGTGAGAGCTGCTTTTGGGCCCCTTGAGAGGAAGTGATGTATTTAATGTTCCATGAGGCACAGACTTAGATTCAGTCAGTAATGGCTTCATCATCTGGCTAATCATTGATGGGATCAGCGCACCATGGGCGAAGGACAGACTGATTTCAGAAAACCACTGCAATAATTGTTAGTGAGACAGTCATATTTAGCATGTGCTACTACTGTGAAAGGGTGTTATCCAGGATATTGAATGGAAATAAAGAGACTTCACAAGATAGATAGCAGGACAGGAGGGAACTTTATTTGGACTCTGCAAATATCAGGAAGATGGTTATCAGGCAAGAGCAGGCTCTACAATTCTTGACTGGGTTATGGAGAACGACTAAATGTTGCACTCTGTTACATCCTGCTATCCTGAATTACTCACAATAGAAAAAAAGAGCTTTACTTCCCAGAATTCTGGCATTAACATACCAGCAAGGCTGTATCTCTGTTTACACAAGTAAACATTTTCTTCCTTTAAATTTTGCACACTTTCATCTGATCTTTTGATTTTTTTTTTTAGCTGAGATAAGTCCTTAGTGGCCACGTACCTGTAGCACCTGTCACACATGTTTTCACGCTAAGAAGAGCATCCACCAGCTTACCAACAAGAAATTCAAAGCCAGGGCTCCTGGTAGTAAGTTAGTCACTTAGCTCAACTTTTTAAATTCATCTTAAACTCAAGAGAGAGCTGAGATCAACTTACCTATAAGCAGGATCACACTGATATAAACTAACCATCACCTACACAGGTACATACATTAAAAAATCTGAAATACAGTTTTAAATATTAGCAAATAAATCTGTAAAGTGCCCAGGGGAATGTGGAACTTTAACTTTACGCTATGTTATATATACTGGAAACTACTCTTATGCACTATTGTACTGGTATGAACAGCTTAACCTGTTCAGTGCCGTGGTTGTTGGCTCTGACCTTCACTAACAATGATTTTTATCTTATAGATATCAAGCTTTTATAATTGAAAACACAAGACCCAGTGCTCCAGCTTTCCAGATGTAGTGATGACCTTTTTTTTATATCCTGAGTGATGAATTGAATGGGATTGTGGTAAATTGTGTGTGATGGTTGACAGCTAGTTGCAGTTGAATGACTATTAAAGGACACCTCCACAATCTCATGGAGACACAATTTTATTTTATGATGTTTGTTAGTCTGTTTTTAGGGCAGAAACAAGACGGATATAACCCAAAAAAAAGCAGATGAGCAAGGTGACATTGAAGCCATTCAACAAAATTTACAAGTACTTTTAATTCTATATGTTATATAAAACATTCACTGAGTTACTGGAGAACTGTTGTCTTCTGAGCACTAAGGATACTGACATGGATGGATGGTGCAGTTATTATAACAAGTGCAACCATACTACAAGACAAAATTTGGTCACAGAGCCACTAAATCCACATTATTCTCATCTAGTGGCAGTTTCGACCAGAAACTCTATGCTATTCTCTGTGTATTGCATTATCTGCTGTCACACAAATTATCTTAGTCAACAAAGCTGGCTCCAGACTTTACTGGATTAAGAACAGGGATGTCCTCTTCCTACATAGATAGCTAACTAGCTAGGCTACATTCCTGGAAAATAGGAACAAACAATGGTTAAATTAATGTATTGTTATGGGGTTAAAGCTTTTAACCCCTCTTAATCAGGATGTAAGCAAGCTGCACAAGGAGGTTTGAGGATCAAAATGAGCACCAAGTCCATAAACTTGGTTCATACCCCAAAGTAAAAATGCAAAAATACAAAACTCACAGACAAAAGGGCAGACCCCCACCCCCGTCCCCAGCCCACAAACAAAACCTCAACAGAATGGATCAATAGCTGCCTGGTCAAACCATCTAGTAAATGCCTAGGGTAAACACAAACAGCCAGTGAAACGATTTAAAATGTTGGAACTTTCCCAGTAAGGCTTTTTAAAATGTACAATAATTTTACTAGGGCTGGTAGGTGAACAAAATACAAAAAGAAAACCAACTGTTTTCTCCCTCCGACAGTCTGACGTGGTAAGCAAGGGGGCAAGTGGCGTTCATGTGTGCATGTTCCTGAGAGCACCAGCTTCAACCAGGAAGTGAACCTCAAAGAAAATGATTAAAAATAAGAACAACCAACCAGTGAACAAGAGCTAAAATGAAAACCTACTAAAGTGGAATCCTAAGTCTAGATTATAAATACATATTCCTTGACCAACACCAAATATTAACTAAAGACAAACATTTGATTAGAGAGGCAGTGAGTGAAATTTCCTCATGTGCATTTACACAGGTTTTTGTTAGTCGAGTTACCATTAAGTGCTACCATCTGTTAAACGTGAATCATCTAGCATGAACCAAATATCAAATTGAAAGAATGAACTGATATGAAATGGCCACTGAACACAATTATCAGGCTACTAGGTTCCAAGCAGGCCACAAAAATAACAAAAGGGTATTTGCCTGGCTGCCATATAATTCAGTTATTTATGTTCTATTTATTTCATTTTAACAAGGTCTTATTTTTTTATTCAGAATTTCTCTATAGCCCAAAATATGTGCCTTTAAACCATATGTTAGTGTTTCTTGAAAGCAATATAATTTAAAGTAGTCTCCCAGTGTAAGAAATGTATTGAACAAAAGCATCTTTGCTGGCAGAGGGGGCCATAAATACCAGCCAACGGTGCTTTCCCCAGCAGTGACAATTCACATCCAAAAAGAACATTCGCTACCTTAGGTCAAGACTGTTCCACCTGTCAGCACTGTCCAGCGTTGTCTGAGACCTGAGCAGCTGGCAGTGATATGACTACACTGATATGGGGCTTTACAGTACCTGCCATGAGTTTAACCTCCATCATAAGAGAAACTGAAGTGTCCTGATCTGTTGCTGGGCCAGAAGACCTGGTTCAGGGCTAATAATTTGTGCAGTCATGAGAATTTAGCAGCTGGGTCTTCTTTTCTTGATTCACACAGGTAACAAGCACACTACGCCTCATACAAGAACCAGTTGTACAAACATTCATTTTTGAGTAGGGCGTACTAAGTAAAATTGTAAGAGAATTTATGGCAGCCTCCAGTTTTCCCATATGTAAAATTTGTACAAAATCTTCAAGTGGTCTAGACCTGTCTTGTAGTGGCTTTAACTGAATGAATCCATAGTTAAATATGATACAGCATTGATTTAATTAAAGATGTACAATATATAACATAGTTAATGCTAAATGAATATGCTGTACAGCATATCAGTATCATAGCTTGACAATTTACTGAAAGGAATTTTAGATTTTAGCAAGGTTTTTTTGGCATATTTTGTCACAGCAGCTGATACTGTTTAGTAGGGAGGAAAGTTGGAAAACTCCCTCCTTCATCTGGCAGCCTCAAGGTCTCTCTGCAGGCCTGTGTCCAGTACCTGACAGCGGAACATCTCCTACTGTAGCCTGGAATATCTCTACTCTGATATCTCAGTGACTGTCGTCCCATTCAGCACCTCACTGATTAGTCATTTGATAGAAAGAGATCTTTAGAGTCTGGTTTCATGCAG